TTTTCAGGGCCACTCACCTATCCCAAAAAGATCTATATCGTTCACGTTTCTTCAAACAACAGACAACAGCAGATAGAAATAAAACTACACCATTGCACCATCTCATGCTCATGCACATGTAAACCAAAACATCAAACCTAGGAACTACTAACGCAGACAAACGACCCACCAACCACACAACACACCAGACTACACGTGTTCAATCTCTTCTATAAAATGATATATACTAGTAGATGACATACTTGGTACCATGTAGCAATGCTGTGCAATAAAAGTATAATCTACAGATATGTCAGCGAGCATAGGACTGTCATGATATAGCAGTCTTTCCTCGTGTGATCATGTGTAACGCTATATTTTGTTTAGAAGGGAGTGGGACGTGCAAGGATGCGACTAAGTGTAGACAAGTGCAATGTGCGCTATATTTGCAGTTTTATTACTTGTATTTTTCATTACTTTATTGTCACAACAACGATGGTAGAGGGTAGATATGATGATACAGTTCTTTCGAGAGGATGTGGGTGGCCCTGAAAAGGGCCGGGGTTTCGGGATGTGGGCCTCCGTCTGGAATTACTGAGCCTTGCTGGTCTTCTTGGGGAGAAGTACGGCGTGGATGTTGGGGAGAACGCCGCCCTGAGCAATGGTGACGCCGGACAGCAGCTTGTTCAACTCCTCGTCGTTACGGACGGCCAGCTGAAGGTGACGGGGGATGATTCTGGTCTTCTTGTTGTCGCGAGCAGCGTTGCCAGCCAGCTCAAGGATCTCGGCCGTCAGGTACTCCAGCACCGCCGCCGGGTACACCGGCGCGCCGGCACCCACGCGCTCGGCATAGTTTCCCTTGCGCAAGAAGCGATGAACTCGGCCAACCGGGAACTGGAGACCCGCACGGGAAGAGCGGCTCTTGGCCTTGGCGCGTGCCTTGCCTCCTTTACCACGTCCAGACATCTTGTAGTATATTCGATTGATTAGCGTCAAACGGCAGAGAAAGAATGAAAGGCACAATCGTCTGCCCAACCAATTTGTACCCCGCTGCTGGATCGACAGCGAACCAATAGGACGAGCTTATCGCCGCGAGTTCATTTCTACCACGTCCGCACCTTGGACTAGACAATCCAACAATTTGCATTCTTCCCCGATATAAAAGACAAAGCCGGAACGGGTGCAGTTATTCTTTGCTGTCTAAATCGCCAAGAATATCGTCATGCCGCCAAGTGGAAAAGCAGCCAAGAAAGCTGGCAAAGCCAGGCCGGTCGGAGACAAGAAGAAGGGAAGGAGGAGAAAGAGGAGGGAGACCTTCGGCGTCTACATCTACAAAGTGCTCAAGCAGGTGCACCCCGACACCGG